CATTCATGTCATACACGTCCAATGTGGCTGGAGATGAGTCGACGTGATGAAAAGACTTTGATTGCAAAAAAAAAAAAATTGGTATTTAAATCAGAATAAAAAAATATGTTTTTTTTGTCTTTTTTTTATGTTGATCAATAATCAATCACCTTTTTTCATTTGTTAAAACAATAAACAGTTTTCTAAGATTATTTTGATTTTCTAAAAGCAAAAAATAAAAAACAAGAGCGGTACCAAATCGAGTCATATATAAGAAATTAGCAAGCATTTGCATCTACGTTGCTTGCAATGCTCTCCAGGAGCAATTACTATATTACTATTACTAGAATATATATATTCAGTGTTCAAAGTATTTGTCTATTTGCTCCATGCTCCTATAAGAATTAAAACGCAAATTAAAAAAAAAAAAAAAAATGAAGTGGAGAAGAGACAGCGCCCTACGCTAATGACACTGCCATGGGGCTTCTTACATAATGGTGACCATTAGTCCAAGTGTACCACCCAAAGGCATACTCACCCTTGTTATGAATATTTGACAGGGAATCATCCCTAGCTTTTATCGTTATGCTGAAGCTTTTCTTCTGGCCCACATGATCAAAAAACAAAACACTCGGCGAGGCTTTAACCGACAATCCCGAAGGTGGCCTGGCACTAAAGAAATACACACTACCGTTAGCGCCAACGTTTGTGACCGTCCTACTAATAGTTATGGGGCCACTGAGCTTAGGAAGTGATACTGATGGATAGTTGAAGTTGTATATTGGTGGTGACACTGTTGGGCACTTGAATTTGGGATCGACTTGTTTGATTCCATAGCTGCAAAGATAGAGCAGGTAATCGGTATAAGATGCATCATATACTAGACCAGGATCTACTGCCCTTGCCGGACGGAAGTGCCCTGAACCAATTTGGAAAGGAGTCGCAGCATTGCCAGATTGATCGGCTATCGGCTGACCCATGTTGTTTTTCATCCAAGCTGCACATGAACAAAAGGAACATTATCATTACTATATAAATGGCATTAGAAGGTACAAAAACTCTGCACAAATCGTGATAATACCTAATTAAGAAGGATCGATGTTTACCTGTAGTCGTGAGGGCAGATCTTATAGCAGCACTGCTCCACTGAGGGTGTATGGCTCTGAGAAGTGCGGCTGCAGCAGCTACATGAGGACAAGCCATAGAAGTTCCAGAAATAATGTTATACTGAACCAATCGCTTGTCTTCATACAACTTTGATGGGGATGTTGCTCCGCTCCATGCTGCCAATATGTTTACTCCTGGAGCTGTGATGTCCGGCTGAAAAGAAAGATTTAGAAATTTTTTCTATTTTTCTCTTTGAAGACAGTAATTAGCCATAGTAGCTTCAGACTTACTATTTGTATTCTGAGAAATTATTTTACCGGCCAAAACAATTTTCTTTGATAAGCATTAGTAATGAAAGAAAGGAGAAAGAGAAAATTAAGCAAATCACCTTGAGAATGGAAGGATGGATCACATTTGGACCTCTACCGGTGAATGAAGCCATGACTGGTGCTGGTCTATAATGTACAAGTGTCTTTGCTAGCCCAATACTAGCCATTGGGTTCTTGGTGGAGCGGATGTAGTTCAGAATTTTCATGGCATCATTATAGCCTACTGAAGTTGCTGGAAGAACATGTGCGTCCGCTATTATATCATTCCCATTTGCTTGGTCATTTCCTAAGACGAAACCGACACCTCCAGCCCTTTTCACTTCCATGCCTTTGGAAATTCTCATTCCGGTCCCTCTCATGCACAGTACTATTTTTCCTCTGATCTTTTTAGGTGAAAGGGAATTGGGAAGACACTGGCTGCATTAACAGTTTGAAATATTGATCATGCACTTGTTATAAAGAATTGTTTTGGAAGTTTTTCCTCTAAATTTTCAAAAGCATGTGATTGCAAAAGAAGTTGTAGAGGTTCCACACCTAAAATATTTACTAACAATTGAAAAAAATAAAAATACATATACAATCAAGAGAAAAGAAAGAAGAAAAAGTAGTGAGTGTTACAAGGAGTTAAACCCCATTTTTGAAACTCATTATGTAGCGTGAGTAATGATCTGCGTACAAAAGATTTTACATTAGTCCTAACTTTACAATTTAATATTGTTGAGTTTTAAATTTCAATCAATTAAATAATTAAAATAAAAAATAACTTCATATATCAAAAAGGTAGTTAAAAAAAAAAAAAAAGAGTTATAATGCCATGATCTACTAAAAACTAAGTTTAGGATGAATTGTTTTGAGAAGGGAGAGTGAAACCTTGTGACATTCTTGGGGACGTTGGGGACAACTACATCTGCTGCATACACTAATGGGTAAGCTTTGTCCAGCTTGTAAGGAGTAACAGTTTGTCCCTAAGATCAAAACATGAATGCACAAATAAATTAATGATCTAAGCAAACTAATATAAACAACCAAAATTAAGAAACAACGAACTTTCTAATCTTTTTGTTTCTCTCTGTTTTTTACCTCAATTTTCTTCCCATTTCCTAGCACAAGAGGCCCAAAAAATGCACGGTCCACGCTGCTAGCACCAACTGTGATGACCCAAGGACTTGGATTCGACAATGTAGATGGGGCAGGGCCTTCATTACCTGCAGCACAGATCACCACAACGTTTTTCTTCGAAGCATGCAATGCCCCAATAGCAATACCATCTTCGTTGAGAGGAACGGGTTCACGGGTGCCAATGGAGATGCTAATAACATGAACTCCATCACCAATGGCATCATCAATAGCTGCAAGCATATCTTCCTCAAAGCATGTGTTGCCATCAGCCTTTTCTTGGTTGGGAATCGCCCAACATGCCTTGTATATTGCCAGGTGGGCTAATGGTGCACCACCGGAGGCAGTGCCACGAGCGAAGCCGCCCAAGGCTGCTGCTTTTTGGACCCGGTTTCCAACAGCTGTGGATGCTGTGTGAGTCCCATGGCCGTCCATGTCACGTGGTGACCTAGAGTCCTCTGTGCTATTCAGAGGGCCATGGTAGTTTTCAAAACCCTTGATGTAGTATCGAGCTCCAATAATTTTCCTGCAAAAATGTGCAAGTTTGTATCATGGAGTTCTAAGGATGAAATCTAATTTGTGTTACATATCATGAGTAGTTTGGTTGAGAATATGAATTAGAGAGAAGCATGAAGTTGATTAAAATGTTCATCATTTTACTAATTTAAGAAAATTGTGATTAGTTTTATCTTGCAAACAAGTGAAGTTAAATATTATTGCTGGGAAAATAGAGGAAATCGTTTCTCCTTTAGTGAGGGACCGTACTTATGATTGGCCTGAATCTCATGCTTCAAATTTCCTAGGTAAAAAGATTAATTAATTTTCATCATTTTCAGAATAAATTTTCTTAAAAAATCTTACTAAATAAAGCTCAGTAAACCTCACAATCAATGTGAGGAAAAAAACTAACGAAGAAAAATTATGTGGAGGTACATATATAAGAGTTGAAATTAATCCACGGATTAGACAAATGGGAGTGGTGCTAATTAATGTATGCACAGATGTATTTATCAACCAAGAAGTTATGTTTTTGTGTTCAATGAGATCTCTAATATTGATCATGTCATATAATACGCATATAAATTCATACTGTTTGAGTTCAACTTCCAGGACCTATTCAAAGACAGATGAAACTAGGGTTAAAATGAACAAAAGTAGACAAGAAACAAGGGCATTGGGCTATGGCAGGACAAGGAGAGCTCACAAGATGGAATCAGAAGAAGCCAAAAAAGAGTAACTGTAGGTCAGGTTTCCTTCTGTGTAACGATGGAAACAGACAAACTAGGATCAGCAATACGATCCCTTGTTTACAAAAGCAGCCTTCCAAGAATCCAATGAAGACATGTAAGCCGTGTAAGGCAGGGCCATTTAGAAGCCGTGAGTGAAAATACCTCGTTTATTTTTAGCAAAAGTTGATCTATCCAATGACAATAATTTAATTACAGACAGATAGGTATCTGGTATGGTCAACGACCATGCAATAATATAGTTTCATATAACACTAATAATTTTCAAAATTCTAGAATTTTGTAGGCTGCAGGAGTTCCTAAAAATCCGGTCAAGTGCAAGTTATATACTTTCGTTTATGTGTAATACATCGAACAAGTTATGCAATGCAATTGTCATAAGAATCTCTTCCAAATCAATTAGTACACTCTAGTTGGGGTGTTTTTGTATTATTTTGATTATAATAAGACTTGGAAACTTCTTCTCTAAAAAGAGTGATTTGTGAATACATATCCATCATTTAAAACACAAACCTTTTTATTTGTGAAATACGTGGCAATGGTCCCATAACTATAGAAAAGAAAAAGGATAACTATATAGAAAAAAAAAAAAAAAAATCTAGTAGCTAGGGCTATTGGATTGGGACATGATGATAACAACATTACTTTTTGACAATACAATCATCATACCTTATCAAAAGCGGGGGAAAAGCTATATATTTTAGTTACGAGTTTCAAAAGCAAAATCATGCCTCTCGTAGAATTAGAGGCATAAAAGTTTAAAAGAATTGACATGTTCCACTTCAAAAAGAATTGAAAGTCACAGTTATAATTAGTTGCTAACTAATTCACGTGCAGACTAAAATTCTTCTAACAAGATAAATAATTAAACATGGCATTGACTAAAAAATATAAGAATGATTAGAAGACTCACTTATTACAGTGGGATGAGTTAAAACCAGGTCCATTTTGGCAGATTCCCTTCCATGATTTTGGGATGGGTCCCATCCCTTCATCTCTAAAACTTGGTGATTCTGGCCACACACCTGATTGGTCATCACAAACCATACACGGATCATCATCATATTGAATCATATTCCTCAGAACCAATCAATCATCATTACATTATATGTCAACATGTATATAGTAGCTAAACTACAAAAATAATGATAAGAGAGGAATCACATGAAGGACAGTAAGCAACAACTAGAAGTATACTAGAAAACAATATAGGAAGTTGTTCTTATTGGTCAGTATTATTTTTACCACTGTCTATGAGCCCAACAATGACTTGTTTTCCGTATCCTGCTTTCTTTAGTAGGTCTCTGCCATCGTCAAAGCCGTGATTTATGTGATGCCCCTCTTCTTCTTCCAAGCCTACAAATCTCCATGATCTCGTAGTTTGCACTGAGTACTTTATTGGGTTGCTTTTAAACACTGAAACCACTTCTTTCAACTCTGCAATTTATAATTTAACATATCAGAAAGATGAAATATACAAAGACAACAACTATAAATTAAAGAGAGATATATTGCAAGCAAAATCATGAGATGATTTCTTATACCTGACAGCTTGGAGGCTTCATCTGGGGTTAGCAATGCGGCGAAGCCATTGATGCTGTGCTTATAGCTGTAAAGAAGAGAGGTTCTAGCTTCTTCTTCAGTTTGTTTCACTCCATATAAATATGAGCGATGAGTTTCTTCTATTTCATGTAATGCTTTATCTCCTTTATGCTCTCCAAAGTACACTATGTAGACCTGTTATATTGCCACAAAAACATACGAATTTACTCAAGTTCTTCTCTTTTTTTAAAAAGAAAAATAATTGGAAATAATTACATCATGAACCGAAAGAGGAAAAAAATGAAAATAAAAAAACCTGTTTCTCCACACATGAGGCTAAGAGAGGAAGAAGAAAAAGGAAGAGAATGGAAAGTTTCTTCATGGTTGGTGATATTGCTAGCAAAGTATGTTATTTGGGAGACTGATTATAAGCTGCTCTTTATAAGAGCAAATGGAATATTGACTAACCTAAATAATATAGATAGTAAGATACATAGTTTTAAATAGCGGTCGTTGTTAAAAAAACGGTTGTGATCACGATCGCGGGTCGCGGCTCATTGCGGTCGTAAAATAACGATCGCGGCGATTAATTGTGTGAATACATTAGCAATCGACAATAAATTTATTCTAATTCACATTTTTTTACGAGTTTTACTAATTAAACATAATAATAAGTAATCATATTTCTAATAGTTTAATAATATATAACAATAGTTAAATTTATTATAAAAAGTAATTAATAACAATTCCAATAGATTAATATCACATGAAAAACAATAAAATACATTATAATTTCAGTAATTGCAGGAGAAAGAAGGCAAAACAAATTCCCTCTTTTTATTAATAATTACAAGAGAAATAAAGCGAAAGAAGACAAAAAAATCCCTCCTTTTCATTAGTAATTGTGGGAGAAAGAAAGCAAAAGAAGATAAAAAAAATATCCAATTGCATTTCGGGCTTTTTTTCAACAATATAAAATTTTTATATATAATGTCGTTATATAACGGCTAATAACGGCGTTACATAACGGTAACGCCGTTATCGGCCGTTATAGGCGTGAAACGGTATTTAGGCTCTTATAACGCCGAAAAACGGTAACGGGTTCCTCTCGTTACCGTTATATAACAGCCGTTACGTCGTTTTTTAAAACCATGGTAACGGGTTCCTCTGTTACCGTTATATAACAGCCGTTACATCGTTTTTTAAAACCATGGTAAGATATCCTTCCAAATCAAAACGGCCCCTGTTTTATAGATTACGAGTAGGGAATGAAGGATGTGTAATATGTGTTTGGATTCACTAAAAGAATTTTTAGATTTGGCATAAGATCTCCTACGTACCAGGAACGAACTTCTATTCCATGAAGAGATATGTACAATATTTTAATTTGTTTGCATTTTATATGGTAATTTAGAATACAACTATCAAGCGAATTTATAACAAATAATAAAACTAGGGGATTGAGATGGGGTACCCTATGGAATAGCCAAAACTCATCGGACTCCCATTGAAAAGGGGGAAAAAAAAGAAAAAAAAAAAAAAGCCTTATCTATTCTTATCAAATCATTGTAAACACAAGGTAATTAAATTCTTATCAAATCATTTTAGCAGGGGCTAATTTGTCGAATGTTTGTGAGGATTAACCATAGGGGCTAATTTGTCGAATTGATACTAACATAGGACGTTAATCCTCACAAACGTCCTATGTTAGTATCAATTCGACAAATTAGCCCCTACGTTCTATAAAGATTTGATGAGAATTTACCTTCTGTTTGTAATATTTAGAAAATTCAACCCAATTAGACTAGATTAGATTAAATTGTAAGATAAATCTCAATTACAATTGTTGCAAATGTTTAATTCTTCAAAAGAAAATAAAAAATTTCAAAATTTTTTATGGAATAAAAACTAATATATTTCTTTTTTTTTTTTTTCACAAGAGGGGGGGGGGGGGGGGGGGAGGGGTTCCAAAATTTTTAAGAAATAAGACATTTCAACAATGCTCAATCACTTAAATTTATTAAGAAAAAAATTAATTTTTTTTAAAATTTTAAGAAATAATCATTTTTTAATTCTCAACCATTAAAATATTTGAAAATTTTCAATAAATAAATAAATAATTAAAAAATTAAGCATTTGTTTATTTTTAAATTAAATTGTCAAAAAAATTATGATTGAGAATTTTATTTTATTTTTTAATCTAGATTTCATTTTTGAAACATATTTAAAAAAAAAATTATTGGTAAGAAATTTTGAAAATAAATTTATGTGCTTGACATTTAAAAAAATTATAAAATGATATATATATTTCTTAAAGACTTTCAAAAAAATTTATTGGCTAGCATTTTTTTCTTAAAAATCCTCAAAAGTTTAGGTTCAATTAAAAAGAAAATTTGTTCTTGAATTTTTAAACCTTTTCTAATTTCAATGATCTAGTATTATCAAAATATATAAGAAGTTTCAAATTTTTTTAAATTAAAAAAATAATTATTTTCTCACACAAACATATATAAGTGATTTCGAGGGGTTTTTTTAAAAAAAGAAAACAAAAAAGAAAATCATCCATGGAAGGGAAATTTAAAACTTCACATGACTATATATATATATATATATATATAAGGACATATTGAGAGTTATTATACTTTTAGGTGCTCGTTTGGTAATCGGGAATAAAGTGATGGGAATGAGAATGTATGATTCGGAATGAAAATTAAGGAATCAAAATGATATTTGTATTTTCATACTATGTTTGGAATACTAACGAGGAATCGGAATGCAATTTAAATTTTTTTAATATCCGAGTGTTTTATACAAATAAAAATAATTATTAAAAAAATAATTTTATCAAACTATAATAGTTATAAAAATAATAAAGATAGTGGTGGTGGTTCTAGTGGTGGTGATGGCGGTAGTAGTTGCCATAGTGGTTGGGGAGTTTATGGTGGTTGCGCTACTCGGTGGTGGTGGTAATGGTGGTTATTGTAGTGGTGATGGTGGTGGTGGTGGTGGTTGTGATAAAAATAGTTAATAAAAAAATAAATAAAATATATTATTATTTTGAAAAAAAAATTATTCTCATTTCTTGTTTTTATTCCCACATCTTATATGGGAATGAAGTTTCATATAAATTTTCATTCGATTCCCACTCTTCATTCCTATTCCCACTTTATTTCTTTTAACCAAACAACTACAACTTGAGAATAAAACTTCCATTCTCATTCCTATTCCCACCATGTTATTTCTAATTACCAAACAATACCTTAAGGATATATTGTAAATTGACCTTAAAATATAAAGACATATACAACTACTTACTCTCGGGTTTTTTTTTTTAAAAAAAAACTTGTGTTGAAAAAAAGAAAGAAAGGAAGAAAAACACAAGCAAACAAATCTCTTTCATAAAATCTCGAGTTTTCCTTTAACATTTACCAAATTTTTTCCGTATACCCTCTCTCATAGTTGCATGTACTTAGGAGTATTATACATTCGCTCTCTTTTTTCTTTTTTTTTTAAACATTGGTTTTATTTTTAAAGCCTTCTTATTCTTACCGAGTGATATTTTCTTCTATCTTATTTATTTTTCAGTTTGACAATCAAGGTATTATAAAATTTCATGTGCAATTGAGGCTAAATCTCATTTATAAGCAATTTTAATTTTTAAAGACGAACGATTTGGTGCATTCCATAGAATAAATTTTTTTTGATAATTAACCCTAAAATTCAAATTTAGAAAGTTAAAAAAATGAACAAACTTTCTTAACCAACTTGCCTAGCCTTGGGGTTTTATTTTCTTAATATATATATATATATTCCTTATATTTTTGGAGTAGTTTATCCTATATTTAAGAATTAAGTTTTCATTCTACTATATGCCTTTATAAATATTCATATTTTCTCTTTTATAGAATCTCAATCAGCAATACCATTGATTCTCGGCTAGCAAAGGATCCTCAATAATGTCGGACCATAAAGTTTTTTATTATGGTTATATATATTAACTGCAAGTATCATATGAATAAGTAAAAAGATTGATTACAACAATCATTTACGGTATTAGAGCCTCTCTATCACAAAATAAAGATTAGTCCTTTTTCTCTTCCCTTTTTAATCATATAACCTCTTTGCCTTCCTGCTATAAAAACATGATAGACTCATCCCCCCATCATAAATCCTATTGCAACCTCCACAGACCGAACATCAACACTCAATGCTCCTAATCTATGACTCTAAGGTAATATATTATCATCAAACGGAACCCTTACCTCCCTTAACGCATCATCTCAAATCCGTCTAAAAATTTCTAAGGGGGTGGTAACTATGCCTCATGGAAGTAACAAATGACCAATCTCTTGTTTGGGTATGGCCTATTTGATTTTATGGATGGCTATTTGCTCTATCCACTAAACACTCGATTCCTCTTATCCCTTCTAGCTTTGTTAGGATTGCTTGGTTCTTCTAGGCATACAAGTCATCTTAAAAAATACTATTAGTCCCACCATTAACAATTGTACCTCCTTTATAGAAGCATGGAACAAATTGGAGGGTAACTATGCTAGTCGCTCCAACATGTGCATGTTCTTCCTTCATTCCACACTCATGACTTACAAAAAGGATGGCAAACCGGTTACCACCTATACCAATCACATCAAAACACTCATGGATGATCTCGTTATCATCGGCTACTCTTTTATTGACTCAAAAATTATTGTTCACACCCTAAATGGATTTTGTGATGAGTTCAAAGAATTAAGTACTACTATCTAAGTTCATGACAATCTCATCTCCTCCGAACACCTTTACGACAAACTCCTTGATGAAGAAATTATTCAAAACCTAGATCAACATCACTTAGAAGATGACACTCTTATCATTGTTTAATTTTCTCGACGGTGACCAAATGGCGGACAAGGTAAAGGAAATCATTGAGACTCAAGATTTTTCTCTCCATCGGATAGAGGTTTAAGTTAAGCTAGGATAATGTCTCAACCAAAAGGGAAACCAAATCAATATTAGACTAGCCTAAACAACCATATTACTCTATACCGAGGTTATGGCTCTACTCTTATCTTTCAATCTTAATCATCTTCTTAAAACTTTAGGTTTAATTTGGGTCAAAATTGGATAATTTGTCAATTATGTGACAGGATTGACCACAATGCTAAAACATGTCACTCTAGTGCTCCACCATCCCATCACTCCATTTGACCATAAGCCCATTATGTTAATGGCAATAATAACCAATCTAACAATAGTTTGGTATTGGAATTGGGAGCTACTCAACATATGAATTTCAATCTTCAAAACTCATCCATACATTTTGACTATATTAGCAATGAAGAAATCATTATTGGTAATGGTAATGGAATTTCCATTTTACATACC